ACCTGGGGCCTAAGCTCTGACTAGCCCCCCTCCCCTCAACCCCTTCCTGGTGCCACAGCTATTGAGCCTCTGGATGACATCGCAGCAGTGACAGACATCCTGGCCCAGCGGGAGGGCGTGAGGCTGGAGACGCCCCCACCCTGGCTAGCCATGTTTACAGACCATCCTGCTCTGCCTAGCTCCTGCTCGCCTGCCTCAGTGGCCCCAGCCCAGACCCACCCCCTGCCCTGGGGGCGTCCCCGAACATTCTCCCTGGACGCTGTCCCCCCAGACCACTCCCTTGAGGCTTCCCGCTTGGTTGCCCCTCTCCCCCCACATCGATCCCCACGATCCAGAGGCTTCTGCAGCAAAGGCTCACCCCGCACTTGGCTCCAGTCACCAGTGTGAGAGAAAGGTGCTGGCAACAGGATGTGGCCGGAAGAGGAGATGACCTGTGTGCGGCTGGGCTCTGGATACAGTGCTATGTGTAGCAGGTTGGCTGGCTTGGCCTCCCCTTCCTCAGCTGGACTGGGGGTAGGCTGGGGATGGGGAGCAAAAGCCCCTCTTAAGTTATGGTGGTCTGGTGCTGAGGGACTCATTCCTGGGACCCCCTAAATCCTTCCTGGGAGAAAACTGGAACCAACCCTGCCCTACCTCCTGCACTAACCAGCTTTGAGGATGGCACTGGAGAGCACTGAGGGGGAACACACCTCTCTTGTGACTCCCACATGAACCATTAAAGTTATTTAACAGCAGCCTTCACCTGGTTCTTGAAGTCAGGTTGCCTATCTGCTTGGCCTGGGCCTGCCCCAAACCCTCTGCCCTGGAGCTTTTATGGAAGATGCAGATGTTGGTTCGCCGGCTGTGAAGGATGACTTTGATACTGAGGAATTAGACAAGGGCTAGGTGGCAGAGATACTTTATAATACCACAGGGAGAAAGAAGGACTTGTCTGCTCTCACACACTGCTGAATCTCAGGATTTCAGAAAGGTCGTAGCCGGTCACAGCAAAGGAGCTGCCTAAAGGATCACAGAATCGGGCACCACACACCTGAGTGTTGGGCACACACTCGCCATGACAGTGTTCCACCTGGGGAAGAAAAGGGCTGCTCAGGGCCTGCTGCTCCATGCTTGGGCCCCCACTCCACTCCTCTCTCCACACACACCTCAATGCAGCCACTCTCTGGGCTTCTGCTCAGCTTCCAGATGTGTACAAAGGTGTCTTCAGCTGCAGAGAGTAACTATTAAAAGGCAGGAAAATGAGGAGTGGGAATGTGCTGATAGGACCGGTGTAGGTTGGGGTGCTATACCACGTGGCAAAGACAAGCTTGTGGAGTTCCTCTCAAAGTCCCAGCACCAGGAACAAGGGTGTATAGGACAGAGGAGGAGACTGACCTTGCCCACCTCTGGAGCCAGGTCCAGGGCACAGATGGCCCGGGCGTGGGCGTCGATTTGGACGTGTAGAGTTCCTGTGCTGGCCTCATACAGACGCACTTGCCCGTTCCCATAGCCTGCTGCTATGATCCCCTGCCACAGATGCACGGAAGCACATGGGGCCCTGCAAGGGCGATGCCCCACTTTGATTTCCCCAGATCCAAGCTCACTCCCCGTCCTGGAGCTGCCTCAGGAAGGCCTCCGCCCCTTTGCCTCACCTACCCAAATCCTGGAATTCGGGTCAGTAATTTGAATTCAGGACCTGACCGCCAGATACACAGCAAGCCTGAGTCATCTGCTGTCACGATGTCAGCCATGCTGTCCTGAGGGGAAAGGCAGGGTCAGCCCTTCCCTTTCTCCCCTGCTGGGTCCTATATACAGGGGAAGGGAGGCAGTATTTTCATCCTGGCCTCTCTAGGGGAAGGGAAGATATGAAGCCCTCACAAGCTGGACCCAGGGTTCCCTTAGGAAGCATAAAATGCTTTCCTTGCATTACTCAGTCCCTCCTTGCCCCCCCCCCCCGCCCCCTTGCCCTGACACCATGTGTTAGGAGGGGTTATAAAATTGTACTCATGGATGATGATATTGCGGCCATAGTGTTATGACCTTCTAGAGGTCTTACAGTAAGCCAGTCACAGTCATAACTAGACTTGGCCTCTTGACTCCCAAACCTAGACAGCCAGTATAGCCCACGGGCCCATCTCAGGGCCAGATTCGGTAGAGGATATGAATTAGAAGACACAAACCCTGTTTTCAAGAGGTTTGCAATCCAATTAGGGACAGAAGAATTGTCACTGAGGACAGTACCAATTCAGGGGACAGCTAAGAGAGATCAGTGCGAGCTGGAATAGGGAGAAGACTTCCTGGAGAGGATGGTGCTAGAAGTGTAGGACTTGCCCAAATCCAGAGCAGGAAGCTGCACATGTCAGAGCTGGAAAGCATCTTAGAAACCACGTGTCCCAACTCCTCAGTTCACACGAGTATTGAGAAGTGTTAGTGAACTATTAAAGGCCATATAAATGTAAAGTATCTCTGGCTTCATCACTGGACCTGAAGTTGCTGAAGGCTAGGAAAGCGCAGCAGTTTGCCCAGAGTCATCCAGCTGCTTAGTGGCAGAGCCAAGACTTGCATTCAGGTCTCCTGCCTCCTAAGGTAGGGAAGGACCCCAGGCTCACTAGAATTGGAAGGGGGAATCCTCTCACCTTTTCCTGGGCAGGCTTGCTGGCAATGTCTGTGACTGACGTCGGGTGCCCAGAGAGTTCTTCACTCAGTACAATGTTGGGACCCTTGGCTGGGATGTCAAATACCAGCACCCGGCCTGACCATGTCCCTGTGGAAGACGTGTGTCCTCCTGAGTATCCAGCCACCACACTCAGCACTCCCTCCATCCCAGAAACCTTAGCAACAAACCCACCTTTCACTTCTCCAACAGTCCTGCCCCTCCATGACTACCCTTATACTATCCCACCCTGCCCCTCTAAACCCATCCATGGCTCCTTGGAGTCTCTGACCCCCCTTTACTTCCACCTTTCCCTCTAACCCTCCACAATTTCCTCAGACCTTCAGTATCCTTAGGACCAAAGCCCACACTTTTATACCTCAGCACCTCCAATGCCCTGCCCTTGGCCCTCTCACCCACACAGATGAAATGGTCACTGGAAGCAATTCCTCGGGCAAACACAGCCTGTACTGAGTATGAAAGGGGAAAACTATTAGAAATAGCGCTTCCTCCAGCCCTAGCAGACACTCCCTACCCCCACCCAACTCAGTCCTGCAGGTACCTGGAGCGGCATCTCCAGAGTCCAACGCGTGCCAATAGACCATGACGGAGCCATCGGACTCATACATCTGGAAGAAGAGGGCAAGGGCAGGGGCACAACCAAGTTAACCTTTGCTGTGTTCTACGCTGATTATGTCACATACTCATGTTAGCCTCAGCCCACTGCATTCTCAAAAACAACTCTGGCAGGTAGGTACTACTTTTATCCCTATTTTACAGAGGAGGAGGACACTGAGGCTCTGATGGGTTAACTAATTTGCCCAAGGTCATACAGCTAGCAAAGGGGCAGATATTGGAGAGGGTACTTGGGAATTTTAAAAAATGGAAGAAATAGCCCTGGCCAGTTTGGTTCAGCGGTTAAAGCATCGGCCTGCAGTCCAGAAAGACCCGGGTTCGGTTCCCACTAAGGGCATATACCTCGGTTGCAGTTTGTCCCTGGCCCTGGTTGGGTCGTGCGGGTAGCAACCACTCGATGTGTCCCTTTCACGTTGATGTTTCTCTCTCTCCCATTCTATCTGAACAAAAAATGGAAAAATGTCATCGGGTGAGGGTTAAAAAAAAAGAGGAAGAAATGAAGATGAGAAATAAGGAAAAGTGGGCTAAGCATGTGCAAAACTTGGCAGTGTTTAGAGGCAAGTGCGGAAGGGCCTTGGAGCCTTAGAGAGGAGTTGAGAAGACTCCAGTCCAGCAGGGCAGGAAGGTCCTCCTCTTACCTGTATTCCTCGATGTGAGGTGAGTACCAGCAATACTCGGAAGGGGAGGACACACCAGTGGACCTGGAGTGAGGTGGATCAGAGTAGAGAGAAGTGGTCAACAGAGCACATGAGGACTCAGAAGAGTAGAAATTCAGAGTGTTAGGGAAGGCCTATTCCTTGAAGTCTGAAGAGGAAAGGACAAGGGTTAAGACTGGGTTCAGCAACACCACTTCCAACTCCATGCCTCACCTGGGTGATAAGTGGGGGACTCACTCCGGCTCCCTCCTTGGCGTGGAGCTGGCGCTGGGCCAAAGGCACACCCTCGGGAGCAGCGCTGAGAAGCTGGGCGTTGGGTCCATGGACTACCCCAAAATGTGTGAGGCTGCGGACGGGCAGCTGCAGCACACTGAGGTTGTTGCACAGGGCGGCAGCCGAGCCTTGAAGAGGGATGGAACGCTCCCGACGGAACATCCTAGGAGAGACGCTGGAATCACCAAAATCTCAGGGGTAGACGGACGACAGCGATGATTCCTGCCGGGAGAGGGGGGTTTGCGGGCGCTTTCCTAAGACCCTGGAGGAGACCCCGGAGACTGGGTCATGATGTAAGGGGGGGAGGGGCCCCGGCGGTCAGTGACGCGGGTCTGGCATGGGGCGGGTCTTGTGGAGCGAGAGAGGGGAATCCCAGGGCTCAGTCACGGGGCGACGAGGGAATCCTAGAGGAGGAATGGTGGTGGCACGGGACCCGGTGACCCCAAGTGCCCGAGCCAAGGCAGGTTAAGGCAGGACAGTCTCCAGGCCCTTCCACCCTCGGTTCGGCTCCCCGAAGACCGGCCCGGGTCAGAGGTCACACCAGCCGACCCAGGTCGGCTTGCCTGACTCCCGGGTCGTTGGGTCCCTCCGAATCCGCCGCCACCATAGAGACGACGCACTTACGCAGGCCGGGCGGGGCGAACAACTCAAACGTGCAGCGCGCGGCGCGGTTGCCGGGGCAACTGTGGGCGGGGCGAGCCATCCAGCTCAAGGCGTGGTTGCTGGGGCGACCGTTAGGCGGCGTTGGCTGCAGCCAGGCAGCGAGCTGCAGAAACTTCGAGGTTGGGGAGAGAGAGGCGGTGATGGCGCATGAAAGCTCGGTAAGCTTCAGCTCAGCTAGGGCTGCTCCAGAGCCGGGATCAGCCTTTCAGGTCGGTGTCGGGAACCGTGGGCCAGCTCCGCGATATCTGGTGCCCGCCCAGCATGCCGGCGTTCAAGATGACCTAGGAATCCACGTTGATACTTGGGCGAAAAACCTACACTTGCACCTGCCCATCACACCCTTTGTCACACTCCGAAGCTGAGGGAAAAGGTCAAATCAGTGATGCAGAACCCAAAAACAAAAAATTACTTTGGAAACAGCTAATGGATGTAATGTCTCTTACACTGAGGTACCCATTTCAATGGATAAACAAGAATTGGTCAGGGATCAGGAACGGTTGCTAAATAAATTATCTATTTCGAGAGTTTCAGGAGGAAGAAATGAATTAAATAACAACCTTGAGACTGCACCCGAAAATCAAATGATTTTAAAAACAGGGTAATTTAAAACATTTGAAGCCCTGGCCGGTTTGGCTCAGCGGTTGGAGCGTTGACCTGTGGTCCAGAGAGACCCTCGGGTTCGGTTCCCGCTAAGGGCACATACCTCGGTTGAAGAGCCTTTGTGTAATAATATCTCTGGCCCCTCTGGTCAGGCCACGTCTAAGGCATGGTCACTATCACCGGTGTCACATGAGAGGCTTGGAAGGGAAGTCTAACGAACCTACTTTCTTTTCCCAGCCCTACCTGCCCTGCTGTGGCCAAGCCTGGACTGGGCTTTGGGCCATTCCCTAGGTTTGCCACCAGAGCTGTTCTCACCAGCAGAGGTTAAGGGATTTTGAGTTCCCTGTGAAGTTTAGAAAACATCAAATTTGAGGAAAAATGAATTTTGGGGAACATCAGGTATGAATCAGTAAGGTTAGGGGGTGAGGAGGCAAAGGTTTGAGATTATATTTGTAGATAAATTTTGGAGGGAACCAGGTTCAAGCACACACTTGTGGGGAAGTAAGGAGACTCCGAAGAATCTGTTAGTAAATTCCTATGTCCTGAAATGAATTTTTGGGACTAGTCTTTATCTTTTGAAGTAGATTTTTTTTTCCTGCTGCTGTCCATATTACACCCCTGGTTGCAAGTCTTGTGGGGACGCTTAGAATTTAGGAGATGCATGCCTGAGAGGAAAGAGAAGTGTGAGTGTGCTCACAGAAGGAAGAGTGCACCCTGGGTCCTTTGTCTTGAGGGTTTTAAAGGATATGAGTTTAGGGAAGGATTCAATAGAATATTCATCAGCTTTATGCTGATGAACCAAAATGAGATTTATTCCCTTAATGTTATCTGTCCTTGAGTGTGGTTGGCACAAATGGCATTGATTGGATTTCTGCTATCACCCTGAATTGGGTGATTTAAGCTATCTACCCTCTGGTTGGGGAGAAGTGTAAACCATTTACTCTTAAGTGTCCTTGATTAGGAAAGATAAGGATTTTGCTATTTTATTTTATTTTTTTCAATTACAGTTGACATACAATATTGTATTAGTTTCAGGTGTACACCTCAGTGATTAGATCCACTACTGATCAACCTGATAAATCTCATACCCATCCAACACCATACATAGTCATCAGAACATAATTGACTACATTTCATATGCTGTACCCTATATCCCCATGACTATTCTGTAACAACCAATTTGTATTTCTTAATCCCTTCACCTTTTTCACCCATCCCCCCAACCCCTCTCCCATCTGGCAACCATCAAAATGTTCTCTGTATCTGAGTTTGTTTCTGTTTTGTTTGTTCACTTATTTTTTTAGATTCAATTGTTGATAAACATGTATTTATTGCCATTTTTATTGTTCATATTTTAAAAATCTTTCCCCCCCCCTTCTTCTTAGAGAAGACCCTTTAACATTTCTTGTAATACTGGTTTGGTGGTGATGAACCCCTTTAGCTTTTTCTTGTCTGGGAAGCTCTTTGATTCTAAATGATAGCTTTGCTGGATAGAGTAGTCTTGGTTGTAGGTCCTTGCTTTTCATCACTTTACATATTTCTTGCAAATCCCTTCTGGCCTGCAAAGTTTTTGTTGAGAAATCAGCTTACAGTCTTATGGGAGCTCTCTTGTAGGTAACTAACTGCTTTTATCTTCCTGCTTTTAAGATTCTCTCTTTGTCTTTAACCTTTGGCATTTTAATTATGATGTGTCTTGGTGCGGGCCTCTTTGGATTCATCTTGTTAGGGATTCTCTGCACTTTCTCGACTTGTATGTCTATTTCCTTAACCAGGTTAGTTCTCTGTCATTTTCTCAAAAAGGTTCTCAATTTCTTGCTCTCTCTCTTCTCCTTCTGGCACCTCCATGATGGGAATAATGGTACATTTGTAGTTGTCCCAGAGGCTCCTTACACTATCTTCATTATTTTGGATTTCTTTTTCTTTTTGCTGTTCTGATTGGGTGATTTTGCTTCCTTATGTTCCAAATTGCTGTTTTGATTCTCAGCTTCATCTACTCTACTGTTGATTCTCTATAAATTATTCTTTATTTCAGTTAGTGTATCCTTCATTTCTGACTGTTTTTTTTTTTTTGGTTAATCCTCACCCAGATATTTTTTCCATTGATTTTTAGAGAGAATGTAAGGGAGAGATGGAAGGTGGGTGGGGGGAGAGAGAGAGAAAGAAAGAAACATCAATGTGAGAGCGACACATCAATTAGTTGCCTCCCACATATGCCCCAACTGGGGTCAGTGATTGAATCTGCAATCCAGGTATGTGCCCTTGACTGGGAATTGAATCCGTGGCCCTTTGGTACATGGGCTGATGCTCTAACTACTGAACAACACTGGACAGGGCTCTGACTGGTTCTTTTTTATGGTTTCTATGTCATTTTTCATGCTGTTGAAATTCTCACTAAGTCCCTTGAGCATCCTTGTAACCATTGTTTTAAACCGTGCATCTGGTATTTTGCTTGCCTCTATTTCATTTAGTTCTTTTTCTGGAGAGTTCTCCTGTCCTTTCATTTGGGACCTGTTTCTTTGTCTCCACATTTTGGCTGCTTCCCTATGTTTGTTTCTTGTATTAGGTAGAGATGTAATGTCTCCCAGACTTGGTAGATTGGCCTTGTGTAACAGGTGTCCTGTAAGGCCCCTGTGGTGCAGCCTTCCCAGTTACCTGAGCTGGGCGCTCCAGGCGCGCTCCTGTGTGGGCTCTGTGCACTGACCTATTGTAGCTGAGCCTCAGTTGTTGTTGGTGTCACTAGGAGGGATTGTCAGCTGTGAGGACCACCTTCAACTACAGCAGAGGGGCTGCTGTGCAGGAGTCAACCCTATGAGCCTACAGAGCAGGACTTGCTTCAGTAGGGTGTTGGTGCTCACTGAGTCCACCCCTTGAGTGTGTCACTTGTGGAGGGGTAGGGTTGTAATCCGATATGGACTGAAGCTGTCCACAGGGTACACTGGCTCTGGTGTGTCCCAGGAGTTTGCAAAATCAGCCGCCACATATGCCCTGCCTGGGGCCACCAGTCACCAGCTGCAGAGCGATCTGCAGATGGCTACTACTTGTGTTGGGCTTGGAGGTGCCCAGGAGAGGCCAAGCTGTGAACCGACCAAGCTGCCATTAGTGCCAGAACTGGGGCTACTTAGCAAGAGGTATGTGTGGGGTACACAGAGGGCAAATGCTACTTGCTTGAGAGATTTTAGGAAAGTCCCTAAGTATAAAAAGATACAATCTCATTGTAGAGAACTTATAAAATAGAGAGGAGCACTGGAAAGAAACATGCTCACTGTTACAATTTCAGTGTTTTAGTTTTCTTCAACACATCTGAGATCAGATGTAATATGTAATTATGTACTCTGTTCTTTCATTTAACATTAAATCCTAAGAATTTTTCTGTATTCTTGCAAATTCCTCCTAAAGATTACCTTTAATCATTGTATAATATTCCATCCTATAGATAGGGCACAATTAGCTATCTATTCTCTTTCTGTTAGACATAATGTTTTCAACATTCTGCTATTATAAATCATACTACAGGGAATATGAAGAATATATTTTAATTTTTATTTTAGATTATGCTTTTGAGTGCATTTATAAAACTGGAATTAATAGTTTTGAAGGTTAGACATGTTTTCAAATGTTTATTAGTCATCTACAGTTCCATTTTTATTTATTTTGTTAATCTTCACCCAAGGATATTTTTCCATTGATTTTCAGAGAGAGAGAGAAAAACATCCATGTGAGAGAGACACATCAATTGGTTGCCTCCCGCACGATCCCAGGACCGAACCTGCAACCCAGGTACATGCCCCTGACCCTTTGGTCTGCAGGCCAACACTCTAATCTCTGAGCTAAACTGGCCAGGGCTATTTTTAAAAATAATTTATTGCTTTTAGAGAGAGGAAAGGGGGGGGGGAGAGAGAGAGAGAGAGAGAGAGATTTGTTGTTTTACATATTTATGCATTCATTGGTTGATTCTTGTATGTGTCCTGACTGGGGATCGAACCCGCATTCTTGGCTCATTGGGACAATGCTCCAACCAACTGAGCTACCCAGCCAGGGCTACAGTTCCACTTTTGTGAAATGTTATATCCTTTGCTTCTTATTATCCTTGGAGTCTTATGATTATCTTATTTTATATGAGTTTTTAATATATTTGGGGATATTTATTTTTTATATTTATTATAAAATGCAGAGGGGGCAAAAGTTGGTTTACAGTTGTTCATATGGAAAATAATATAATAATTAATAAATAATAATACAAGAATAAACAGTGTTTTGTGTACTCACACTGTAAACCTACTTCTTCCCTACCCTGTATTTTTTGTTTGGGAAGCAGTATAAAGTCAGGCTCTGGAGTCAGACCTGCCTGTGAGTGGTCACTCCTCTGCTTCCTTGCTGTGTGATCTGGGCAAATTCTGTAAAATGGAAATAAAAATAGTATGTGATCTAAAAAGTGTAGGAATTAAGTCAAGACAATGTATGTGATGATTATACTTTAAATGCCAGAAAATGGTAACTACTAATATCAGCTTGTATATTAGGAATGTTTATAAAAATAAGTAGAGGAAAATTTGACATATCTATATGCCTATTTCTTTATTATTTGTACAGGTTTTTTTCCCTTTAATCCGTCTGGAATCTGTTTAGATGTATGTTGTGAAATAAGGATCCAAGTTGATTTAGGGGGGAGGAGGTGACTCTAAACAGCACCAATTATTCCAGCACCCATATATTGACTTATCTATCTCAAGATCTTTGAACTAGTGTAAATGTCAAGGACTGTGGCCACATATAGTCTGGGTTTACTGTGGAATCCCAAGCAAGTGCTGGCTAATTTGTGTCATGTTTCAGTTTCTTTGTGAAATGGGTTTAGTGAGCAGTTATGAAAATTAAATTAGCTAGGTCAAACACCTGAAAAGCATATGTCACACAGTAGGCTCTCCTTGGGAGTTGTCCTTTCCAAAAGGGTTTTCCTTTCTACTAGACAGCTTGAGAAAGCTTCCTCCTAGCCTACAGCTGCTTCTCTCTTTCACGCCTCAGATTTCTGCCCTGACTGCCCTGTTCCCTTCCCACAGAGGCAGGTCCGAGACCGTGGGGTGACGAGATCCAAGGCGGAAAAGGCACGGCCACCTACTGTGCTGGTGCCGCAGGTGGACATCATTCCTGGGCGGCTCACTGAGGCTGAGTGGATGGCGTTCACAGCTCTGGAGGAGGGCGAGGAGGTGGTGGGGGACATCTTGGATGATCTGCTGGCACGAGTCATGGACTCTGCCTTCAAAGTCTACTTGACCCAGCAGGTGGGTCCGGATCTGGATCCTCCAGATCCATCTCCCCGCTCTCCGACCCCTTCCTGCCAGGCTGAGTCCCTCTCTTGCCCCCTCAGTGCATTCCATTCACCATAAGCCAGGCTCGGGAGGCCATGCTGCAGGTCATCGAGTGGCGCTTCCTGGCCCGGGATGAGGGAGAGTCTGCAGTGGCTGAGGACCCCACGTGGGGCGAGGACGAGGAGCCCTTGGCATGCACGACGGATGCCTGGGCTCAGGGATCCGTGCCTGTGCTGCACGCACCAGTCTCCATGGGGCTGGAGGAGACCTTCCAGAGCGAAGTAAGCCCAGTCCCCAGCTCCCTCCCACCCCTACCCCTACCCCCACCCCCAATGCATCTTTGTTTTCCTTAGGGCCTATCTGGATTTCTCCACCCTTAGTTCCTTTCTCCCCTTTCTGACCTCTCACTACCCACCTCCCTCCCCTACCTCTGGTGCATTTCTCCAGGACCAAGGGAGCATAGAACAGATTTCTTTAGGAAGATCGAGGATGGATAGAGGCTTTGAGGAGCAGATGGAATCTTCGGAGCATTCTTCCAAGCCGAGAGACACCCCCAGCCCCCCACCCATCCTGGAGCTGTTTCAGGAGGCAGAGCCCAGGGGTCCTTTGGAGGAAGTGGAAGGCCAGAGAGGAGGCCACCAGTCTTCAGCAGAGGCCTTGAACGTGAGCCTCCCACAGTCTTCATCAGAGGAGCTGGGTCCTGCTGGCAGTCCCCACCCTTCTCTGGAGCTGTCCCAGGTAGCCAGCTCCCAGAAATCAACAGAGAGGGCACCGCCCCTTAGCTCCCAGCTACTGAAAGAGGATCTCTACTGTTGCACACTAAAGCCGCCCACCGCTGGGGATCAGAGGGTGCCCCCCACAGCCTCTGGCCCCACTATCCTCAGCCTTCCCAAGTTCTCCCAGCCACAGCAGCCTTGGGGCTCGGACTCACAGCTGAGCAAACTTTCCTACCCTGCAGGCTGCAAGGCAGCTTTGGTACGGCTGCCGCGCCACTGGGTCAGCCCACTAACTGAGATTGTGGACCCAGACTCCGCAGTGCGCCCCCTGGGCGTCTACCGCAGGTGCCAGCGGGTCAAGAAGACAGAGGTCCCAGCTGGACCCCCAGCCACTGGCCCCAGTTCCGGAGTCTCCCCTGCATGTTTCTCTACTCCCCCTCCAAGAGGTCCTTGCCCTGCCTTGTGCTCCAGCTCCCAATTTCCCCCTTTAAGTTTAGACCTGTCATCACCAGGCATCCAATCAAAGGGGCCCTTACCCAGCTCAGAGAGCCACTTTCTTGAAAAGCACCTGGAGCTTCCCTACGTGGCTCAGTGCCCCAGCCCCAAAATGTGGCCAGGTGCAAAGTGGCCCAGGGGCTGGGAGAAGGGAGCAGAGTTGCTGGAAGAGCTGTGGGCCGCCCGTACCCACGTATCTGCGCGGGGCCTGGACCCTGGGGATCAGGAGTGCCAGGATCCTCACAGGTCGCCTTGCCCCACGCCCCGAATCCTCGACGCCACATCCCAGGTGATGTGGGAGCCTGTGTTGCTGCCAGAAGCCTTGAAACTGGCTCCTGGTGTGAGCGTGTGGAACCCAAACGCGCAGGTGCTGCTCAGCTCTGGCACACCCCAGCAGGAGGACAAGGAAGGCTGTACCTCTCCCCCCATCAAGGCAGGTGCCCAGAAGCCCAAGTGACCACAGCACAGCTAATGAAGAACTCGAGCTCCAAAGTGTGGTCACCCCTCTCCAAGCTCCTGCCCCATTCTGAGCCCTGAACCTCAGCCAGTGGGAATCCCACCTTCCTTTAGTCTGCTTGCCAGAAATAAACACCTGAGTTGCCTTAAGAACTGGCCTGGTATCTCTGTCAGTTTCTTCCAAAGATGTGTATTCTCACTGGAGAGGAACAGGTGTCCTAGCAGGCCTAGAAGAAGATACAACACTGCTGAGGGAACACACCCATTTGCACGCATAGGAGACCCTGCTTCAGGGCCAAGGCTGCTCTCGAGCAGAAGAATTCTGGAGAACCATCTGTCTCCTCACAAAGGACCAGACAGATGTGAGGGCTGCAAGTGGAGTCTACCTTAGTTGGGAAAACAGTCTACTTTCAGCTGGGGAGAAAGGAAATGGCCCTGCTTAGGCACAGAGTGATTCAAGACACAAAGACTTTGATTTCTTACTTCCCAAGACCCTGGAGCTCTGTCAATTCACTTTAGCATGCAAATCCAGGTTTGGCTTAGAGACTGATTTGAGCCTTTGTAGGGTTTGGGGCTCAGGGAAAGCCCTTCTGTTAATTTTTGACTAGAGGTGAGGCAATAAAGTGCCTAGGTCACATAGTTTATAAGGAGGAACTCACTCTCGGGTTCAGATGGTTGCTTGAACTGATGCGAGAGTGCTTCCTTAAATTTTGTGCCTTAGGGTCCGCACCATCCTCATCACTATTGCACATTCAGCTCTGACTAGCTCTCTCCCATTCTCTTCCCGCTCTGTGTGGCAGGCCAGTATCTGCTATGTCACTGTGGTCTTTACTCAGCAGCCAGGTCTGGAGCCCTGGCTTCGTCCTCCTCATTCTGGTCTTCCTGCTTAGACTCAATGTGCGGCTCCGGTATAGGTGTCAGCTTTGGGACCTCCAGCACTGCCCCACAGATCTGACTGGGAAGACGGCAGTGGTGACTGGGGCCAACAGTGGTGAGTGTTTCTCCCACCCTGTCGCCTCACTAGGGGCCTCAGCCCCCAACAGCCTTTACAGGGAGGGCAGGGGAGAGAAACAGTACCCACGTCAGCACCCTGTTTCTCCACTTGCTCCACTGCCCTCTAGTCACTTCCCACACTAGCCCACTCTGAAGCTGCCCTCCCACAGGCATCGGAAAGGTTGTGTCCCAGGAGCTGGCCCGCCGTGGGGCCCGTGTGATCCTTGCCTGCCGTAGCCATGAGCGTGGACAGCGAGCCCTGGATGAGATCCAAGCAGCCTCAAGGGATGCCTGCCTTCTGCTTGGGGAGGTAGACCTGAGCTCTATGGCCTCCGTCCGGAACTTTGCCCGGTGGCTTCTGCAAGAGTGTCCTGAGATACATCTGCTGGTTAACAATGCTGCGGTCTGTGGTATGTGCCTTGACTTGCTTCCCCCAAACACGTTTCAGGAGACTCCTTTCTAGATGAGGGACCCCAAAACAGGCATTCCCAAAGCCTAACCTGTGCTTCCTGCTGAAACACTCTTAATTCATACACAATCCTAAAGAGCCTGCCTCAAGTTTCAGCCTGAGATTTCATTGCCTCCATCTTTGTACATACGTGCTCCTATGGTATTTCTTTCTTTCTTTTTTTTAAAATTCATTTTCAGAGAGAGAGGAAGGGAGAGGGAGAGAGAGATAGAAACATTTATGAGAGAGAACATCGATTGGCTGCCTCCTGCATGCCCCCCACTGGGGATTGGGTCCACAACCTGGGCGTATGCCCTGACTAGGAATCGAACAGGTGACCTCTTGGTACGTGGGTTGAAGTTCAACCACTGAGCCTCACCAGCTGGGCCTCCTATGGTATTTTTATTGAATCCAAATATGCTCCCAGACTCTGTCTACCTCAGGGTGGTCCCTCCATCATCCACTTCCTGTGTTTTCCTCTCTTCCCAGGAATCCCCAAGACACTAAGCTCAGAGGGCCTTGAATTCACCTTTGCCACCAATTATGTCGGGCCCTTTCTGCTCACAAATCTTCTGCGAGGTAAGGAAGTGTGCCTCCCCTCTCGGCCCCTCCGCTCCATTCCCCTGGCATTTTCCTGGCAAGTCCCTTCCCCTTGGCACCCAGCAGCTTGCTGAGCAGTGACCCAGTGTGCTTTTGCTGCCCAAAGCAGGGGAGCCACCTGACACAGGCAGGACGAGGATTCTGGTAATGGAATCAGTCAGCTCAAAATACAGCCAGCAAGAGGGATATGAGATCCCACCTCCCTTCCCTCAGCTCTGAGTTCCAGCCAGACCAGAAGGTCAGTCATCTTAACGAAAGCTTCCCGAGGGTGGCACTAGGCCACCTGGAACACAAACACCAAGAAGCTCAGGAACCACCAGGGATAGTAGCCAAAAAAACCACTGCCTTGGGCCCAAATCCTTCGACTTTCTCATTTTGTAATCCTTTCTGATTAAGGAAGTTTAGGTTTTTCCTAAAGAGGAAGGGGGAAACAGGTAGCAGGCAAATTCTCCGACATATTTTCCTGTATTGTGTAATAGCCTCTTTAAAAATTTTTTTCCTTTATTGATTTTTAGAGAGAGAGAAAGGGAGAGGGAGAGAGATAGAAACATTGATGAGAGAGAACATCGATTGGTTGCCTCCTCCATGCCCCCCACTGGGGATTTGGCCCACAACCTGGGCATGTGTCCTGACCAGGACTTGAACCAGCAACCTCTTGGTGCACGGGTCGATGTTCAGCCACTGAGCCACACCGGCAGGGCTCCATACATTTTTGAGTATGAATATTTTTTTCTTTTCCCAAAAATTGTAACATGTGTTTGTACCTTGCTCAGTATTCATGTTTTTTTTCTTTTTTTCTGAAAAGTATTTATTTGAGCTAAAGTTGCTCCAGCCTGGGATACAGAAATTCAGGTAGCAACCTAAATTGTGTTCCTAAGTAACAGTTTCTTAAATTGTTTGTTTCTCCTGTCTCCCCTTTTCTAATCTGTTCTTCCTTCTGCCACTTCTAGAAATCATCTTGAGCCATATCATTTCTTGCTTCAAATCCTTTGAAGGTACTCTGTCCTTTAGGAAAAACTCTAAGCCCCTTTTCTTCTTACAATATGAGAACCTTACCTTTTGCTCTTCCTTAGCCCACACCCTTGTCTCCAGTCAGACAATCTATAGCTCTTGGACCACACTCTGTTTTCCCCCCTTTGGCTGTGCTTTTGCACATGTGATTCCTTCTGTCTGGAATATCCTTTCCCACCCCCTTAGCCTGGCTAACTTGAGTTCATCTGCACACACATGGCCTGTGCTGTGGATCCAGCCCTGACACCTCCAACTCCCCAGCCACCCCCAATTATCAGGGCTCCCTAAGCCCCTCGTACACATCTCTGTTCTCGAACTAACATTGCCCCGTGAGGATCAGTCTCCAACTAGGCTGGGAGCCCCTTTGGTTTTTATGCCACTATGTCTGCAATTTGGGGGTTCATGGTCCTCTTTAAGAATAATTTTCTCTCTAGCAAATTTTGGCTAAATGCCACCTGTTCAAATAGTCATTTATGATTCTTTATTTAAATGTAAGGTGCTAAATAATTTTAGCATTTTGAAAACAATGCTGTAAACTCATGTGACAATTACTACTTTTTTTTTTTTATCCTCACCCGAGGACATTTTTTTGATATTTTGTTCAGATAGAATGGGAGGGAGGGGGAGAGAGAGAGAGAAACATCGACGTGAAGGGACACATCGAGTGGCTGCCACCCGCACGACCCAACCAGGGCCGGGGACAAACTGCAACCGAGGTACGTGCCCTTAGCGGGAACCGAACCCAGGTCTCTCTGGACCACAGGCCGACACTCTAACTGCTGAGCCAAACCGGCCAGGGCGACAATTACTATTTTTCATAATTTATATAATCCAGACTTTTTTGTATAGTTATGTACTGATTTTTTTTTTTTTTTTTTTTTTTTTTTTAAGATTTAACTTGTTCTATTGATTATAATTTTATTTTTGTTTCTTTGGGAGATAGTTTTTTCCTTTCTCCCACTTAGTTGTCGGTGTGGTCAAACATAAACAAGGGTCAATTAAATTAGCTTCAGCTGGTAAGTGGAAGCAAAGCAAGACAAAATTTCAAACACTAAAAATAAAAGAGGAAGAAGAGTGTTAGGAAAGCAGCCAATGAAAATTAAGTCTCTGTTCACATTAAGTTCCCCTGTGTCTAGCCTGGGTGACTGGGTGGGGGCCCACTGACTCTCTCCTGAAAGCCCTGGATGGGCCCTGCTCCCCTGAAGTTTCCTGGAGAAGAATGCTGGGGAGTGGGCATGGGAGTTTACCCCAGGCCTTGGACTGAAGGTGTGTGGTCCTCTCTCTAACCCAGGAGCGCTACAACGGGCAGGGTCGGCCCGGGTGATAAATCTGTCTTCCTCTTGGCATATACATGGGTACTTTGATGAAGAACATCTGACAGGGGCTGGTAGACCTTTGACCTTCAACCAGAACTATTATTGCAGCAAATTGCTTTTGACCTCAATCACTGGGGAATTTGCCCGGAGACTTCAAGGGACAGGTAATTGCTTCTGACACCCCCTCTTCCTCCACTCCCAACCCTTCACACCTCTCAACATGTCCTGGCCATAAAATACTTCCAATATCCCCTAAAACAACTGTTAATTTCTTCCATTTACCACCTGTACCCCTATAGTCCTCTCAACCTTGTCTTCTTTTCAACCTTTTCCAACTCTCTTATCGTCTGTAACATCCCTCTCCTCCCAGTGTTTTCCAATACCAGTACCATACATCATGTTCCCCTAAAGTTAACCCAACACTTTCAAATTCTTGTGTCTCCTTACTGGCTTGGGTTCCACCATTTGTGTAAGTTACAGAGCACTAGTGTCCCTTCTAGCACCTCCAAGTCTCTGGTCACCTTTACCCGACAGACCTGGTAGGATCCTCCCTCCTTGCACACTGCAGAGCCACACTCAACCCTTTCTTCCCATCCTCCTCTCACTTCACTTTGCATTATGCTTCTGTCTTCCTTCTCAGGTGTGACTGTGAACTCTGTGGACCCCGGTGTTGTATACACAGGGATCATTAAGGAATTCTCTTGGTTCTACCGTGTCACCTTCTGGCTCTGGAGCTTCTTCATTAGGGTGGGTAGAGGGGAAGCTGGTTTGACCTGAAGAGGGTGGGGCAGGGCTCTAGTTCTCGGTGTGTCCCCAGCCCAGCTAACGTCTGTCTGGTGAGACATCTCATTCTCCTCCTTAACCCCCCACTCTTTGTATTTCCACAGGATCCTACAGAGGGTGCAAACCCAGTTCTCTACCTGAGCTTGGAAAAGGAAGTGGATGGCATTTCTGGGAAATATTTTAGCAATTCCTGTGTGATAACTCCTCCTGCTAAAGCTGCTCAGGATCCTTATGTGGCCCAAAGCCTCTGGAACGCCACAATCAAACTGACGAACCTGGACCTGATGGACTGATCCTCTGTGACCCAGATCTCGGAGTTCTTTAACATCTTTGAATTTATATGCTTTTGTAGTATTTTAATTATATTGTTATTTCGTTAATCTTGCAAATCAGATATACTGTTATTTTAAGTAGTTGAGATTTGTGTAGCTTTACACATACGTTTCATATTTTCTTTGCTCATTCTTCTTCCTTGTGTCTCAGATCTTCTATCTGGGGTTATTTTCCTTCTATCCAAAGTACATCCTTTAGAAATTCCTTTAATGAGGATTTGTAGTATGCAGAATTCTTAGATGCCCCAAGATTCAAACCCTCCTGTGTATATGTTCTATATAATCTTCTCCCCTTGAGTGTGAGCTTAACTAGTGAATATGATGAGATTTTTATGCCTGCTATGTACCTGGAAAATGAGATTTTACTGGTATAATTAAAGTCTGTAATCAGTTGGCTTTGTGTTAAAGGGGAGATTATTTTGAGTGGGGCTGACCTAATCAGGTGAGCCTTTTATTTATTTATTTTTAAAATTTATTATTTTAAAAATTCTCACCTGAGGACATTTTCCCATTGCTTTTTCAGATAGAGTGGGAGAGAGGGAGAGAGAGAGAAACATTGATGTGAGAGAGACACATTGACTGGTTGCCTCCTGCATGACCCCTACTGGGACCGGGGATCCAACCTGCAACCCAGGTATGTGCCCTTGGCTGGGAATCAAACCCGAAACCCTTCGGTCCACAGGCCAATGCTCCAACCGCTGAGCCAAACTGGCCAGGGCCAGGCGAGTCTTTTGGAAATTGTCAGACCTTCCCAGAAGTCAGAGAGTTCCTCTTGTTTACCATGAAAGAAGCAAACGGCCACATTTTGAAGCTGGAGACAAATCCTCTAGGAGTTAAGACTTCAGTTCTACAGTCCCAAGAAACTGAATTCTGCCAATAGTCAGTGAGCCTGGAAGTGGACCTGGAGCCCAGATGAGATTGCAACTTTTTTTTTTATCCTCACCCAAGGACATTTTTCTATGTTTTGTTCAGATAGAGTGAGAGGGAGAGAGAGGAAGAGAAACATTGACATGAAAAGGACACATTGAGTGGTGGCCACCTGCACGACCCAACCAAGGCCGGGGACAAACTGCAACTGAGGTACGTGCCTTTAGCGGGAACTGAACCCGGATCTCTATGGACCGTGGGCTGATGCTCTAACCGCTGAGCAACCGGCCAGGGCAAGATTGCAACTTTTGATGACACCTTGATTTCAGCCCAGTGAGACTCTGAGGTCCCAGAGGTGCCAGCTAACCTGTGCCCAGACTTCTGACCCAGAAACCGAGAGACAATAAAAGTGTTCTTTTAAGCCACTGAGTTTGTAGTAATTTGTTTTGCATCAATAAAAAACTTGTAGGATCTAATGATAGTAAACTTCCTCAGTTTTTTTTGTTTAAATTTTTTTTTCCTTTACCTTTTTTGAGGGATAATTTTGCTGGCTAAGGAATTATAGGTTGACAGTTATTTTCTCTTATTTTGCTGAATATTTCTTTGTCATCTGGGGGCTTTTGTTGTTGCTATTGAGAAATCATATGTTAATGAAACAGTTGCTTTCCAGGGAATCTGCCTTTTCTCCCATACACCTTTAAGATTTTATCTTTGTAATTATTTTTCTTTTCTTTTTTTTATCCTCACCCGAGGATATTTTTCCATTTTTTGTACAGATAGAGTGGGAGGGAGAGAGAGGAAGAGAGAGAGAGAAACATCGACGTGAAGGGACACATCGAGTGGCTGCCACCCGCACGACCAACCAGGGCCGGGATCAAACTGCAACCGAAGTACGTGCCCTTAGCGGGAACCGAACCCGGGTCTCTCCGGACCACAGGCCGACGCTCTAACCGCTGAGCCAAACTGGCCAGGGCTGTAATTATTTTTCTATAGCTTCACTATTATTAATCAAGATGTGCACTTCTTTTTGTTTATTTTGGTGGGAATCCCATGGATTTCCTAAATCTGAGGCTATATACAAATCTTGTTTTCTCTTTAAGTACAGCCTCTTATTTATTATCTTTCTTTTTTATGGAATTGTAGTTAGATAAATGTTGGACTTTCTCATTTTATTTTTCATGTCTCTTAACTTCTCTTCCACATTTTCCTTATTCTTATATGCTAATGCTGCATTTTGGTTCTTTTTTTTTTTTTTCAGTTTCTTAACAGCTATTTCCCGATTCACTAACTCTTTCTTCAGCTATGTTGAAAGTATGTATATATATATATATATATACATACTTTACATATATATATATTTTGGATTACATCATAGCTGCAATCCCAGAGGAACTGCCTTGTACATTTTGTACCTTGAGCTTTGGAATGTTAACAGGGCAAAATAGCCTTTGGACTGGGCCTAAAGCAACATTGTGTTCCAAACAACTGTTTGCAAAGAAAGCAGGTGTTAGGATTACTTGACTGATGTCTATGAGTATGAAAATTAAAAACACTGTTTAGAATTAGTATCACTGTTAGCTTATCTGAACCAATAGACCTGTTTTCCTTCTATTGATTTAATTGTTCCCCTTCCCTTTCTCATTAACACTCATTGCCTTTGTTTCTTAATTGGAACACTATTTGGGCATCTGCTGAATCAGTGCTTCCCAACTAGCTTTAAAAACAAAACAGAACAAAAACAAAAACAAAAACCCTCAAATATATGCTTGTTGCCTCACACTTTTTTTTTTTTTTTTTTTAATCCTCACTCGAGGACATTTTTTGTTCAGATAGAGCGGGAGGGAGAGAGAGGAAGAGAGAGAGAGAGAGAAACATCGATGTGAAAGGGACACATCAAGTGGCTGCCACCCGCACGACCAACCAGGGCCGGGGACAAACTGCAACCGAGGTACGTGCCCTTAGCGGGAACAGAACCCGGGTCTCTCTGTACCGCAGGCTGACGCTCCAACCGCTGAGCCAAACCGGCCAGGGCGCCTCACACTTTTAAAGGCTTTTTGTTTTAGGTTAATAGCTAAGACTAATCTTTTGTTTGTGCCATCTATACTATATATTATAAGTACTATATTTTATAAATGGTTATGTTGCCAATCTACCTAGTCAATTGTTATAATTGCTTGTTCCTTCATTATATTAAAATTTATGTTTTTAAAAAATATTAAACATATTCATTTACATGCAGTAACTGAAAATCCCAGTATCTGTAATCTTGGCAGGCTTGAATATTTATGATGGCTTGTTTCTCTGTGTTTTGTCATTTTGACTGTACAATCATGGTTCTTGGAACTATAGCTGTAGGAATTATTTAAGGCCAGGAGTTAAAGTGCATTCCCCAGAGAGGATTTACATTGAGTTTGGCCAGTTTCCCAGGAGTACTCAACCAATTTGGGACCACTTTATATTACATTTTTGTCTTTGGATTTGGGGTGCCACTATGTGGTATACATTTCGCCCCAAACTTGTATGCATACCAGCATATTATTTTGAATGATCAGAAAGAACTTTTCTCCCACTATACTAAGAACCAAGGATGAGGCAAGCTTTTACCCTTACTGTTGCCCTCTGTGAGGCACTATTTTTTAAGTTCACTCTCTGTGGGTGTTACTCTTTTTTTTTTTTTTTTTTTTTGGTACGTGCCCCTAGTGGGAACCGAACTTGGGACTCTCTGGTCCACAGGCCAATGCTCCAACTGCTGAGTCAAATTGGCCAGGGCATGGGGGTGTTACTCTTTGACTATCCTGGCTCTATGTATGTAAGGGATAGTTTTCCATCCCAACTGTCCCTGCTCAACCCCAGATTTTGTTTTCTGTCCCTATTTATGACCCTTTGAACTCAGGTTCTAGGCCACTGGGGGTTGGCTTAGCAAACACAGGCTCCAGTAATCATCTGTGCCTTGGGATTCATAATTTCACATTATCTCTAATGTGTGAGGAATTCCTTTAACTTCCCACTAATTTATTCAGGCAACACAAATAGCTGTGTGTGTGTGTGGGGGGGGGGGGTGCGTGCGCGCGTGTGCAATGTTGCATCCAGCATTTTTAGTTGCTCTATATCAGGTGGACTTTCTGTGATATTCAATTCTCTGAATTGCCATAAATGAAAGCATCCAAAATTTTTTTTCTCCCTCCTTCCCTCCCTCCATCTTTCTTTCCTTCTTTTGCATTTGGATAACCAACCGTCCCAGCATCATTTATTGAATAGTGTCTTTCCTGCACTGATCAATAATATAAATTTTGTTATATATCAGATTTTCATGTGTATGTGTGTTTGTTTTAGGTCTAGACTCCTTTCTGTTCTAATGGTCTTTTTTCTATTCTGGCATCAATATCACATTGCTTTAATTATTATAACTTTAAAATAAGCACTGTCACCCTCATAATTGTGTTCCTTTTCTTCAGGAGTTTCTTGGCTATTTTGGCCCTTTGCTCATCTCTACAAATATACCAGTTTGTTGTCATGCTCCTAGACTATCCTAATAGCATACTGATGGGGATTATTTCAAATATATAGATTAATTTAGAATAACTACTTTATGATTTAAATACTCCTGTTCATGGCCCTGACCAGTTTGGCTCAGCTGTTAGAGTGTCGGCCTGTGGACCAGAAAGTCCTGGGTTTGGTTCCCACTAGGGACATGTACCTCGGTTGCAGTTTGTCCCCGGACCCGGTGGGGGTCATGTGGGTGGCAACCAGTCAATGTGTCTCTCTCACATCAAAGTTTCTCTCTCTTTCTCTTCCTTCCTCTCTCCCTCCTGCTCTATCTGAAGATAAATGCAAAAATGTCCTCGGGTGAGGATAAACAAATAAATAAATAAATATTCCTGTTCATGAAGTGCTATATCTCCCATTTATTTAGGCTATCTTTAATGTCTTCAAATACAATTTTATAACTTTGGATTGTGCATATGTTTTCTTAAGTTTATTACTGGGTGCATCAGTTTTATTTAAAAATTATTTAACTTTTTATTGTTGGTTATAGAAATGCAATTGAATTTTATACTGATTTTATAGCTAGCCAGCTTGCCAAAAAAAAAAAAAAATT